GGTGTTTTTCTGCTAAGGGGACAGGACAACTGCATCAAAGAGATGATGGGCGGGGCCTTGGGTGAGAACCTGGAGTGGCCTAGCCAGTGTCCAGACCTTAATCCCATAGAAAATCTGGGGGAGGGTGCTGAAGGTTCGAGTTACCAAACGTCAACCTCGAAACCTTAATGACTTGGAGAGGATTTGCAAAAAGGAGTGGGACAAAATTTCTCCTGAGATGTGTGCAAACCTGGTGGCCAACTAAAAGAAACATCTAATCAGCATCTTGATATGCCACACCTGTGAGGTGGCTGGATTATCTCAGCAAAGGAGAAGAGCTCACTAACACAGATTTAGACAGATTTGTGAACAAAATTTGAGAGAAATAGGCCTTTTGTGTACATAGAATAAGTCTTAGATCTTTCAGCTCATGAAAAATGGGGGCAAAACAAATGTCTCGTTTATAATTTTGTTCAGTGCATTTTATAGTAAGTGATTTGTTTTTTTCAAGTCAGGGGAAGGGAACCATCAATCTTAGGTCAGCACCAGGACATACTTTTCCTTGCCCAAGATCATATAGGTCTCACTCTCAAGCAAAAGCTGTTACAAATGAGTGGTTATTATTATTATTATTATTATTATTATTGCCATTTATATAGCGCCAACAGATTCTGTAGCGCTTTACAATATTATAAGAGGGGAGATTTAACTATAAATATTACTATTACAAAAAAAACTTACAGGAACGATAGGTTGACAAGGACCCTGCTCAAATGAGCTTACAATCTTGTTGGTAAAGTAGCATGCAAAGCTATCGGCTGTAAGGTTAGTTTAAGGGGTGGCCACAGCAGGACGAAGACCATAATATGAATCTATAATGGAGAAAGTCTTACTGGGTGCAAGACTTCCTCCAGGAGCATTTAGCACAACGGGATCATCTTTGCATGCATAAGTGAACATGAGGTTGAGGGTATTGCCAGCTACCTGGGTGGGAGAATCAGCCCACTCCGAAAGTCCAAGGGAGGAAGTAATTGAAAGTAGTTTGGAGGCTGCTGAGGTCAGAGGTGGGTTAATGGGAATACCGAAGTCCCCGAGAAATAGGGATGTTATGTTAGAGGAGACGAGGCAGAGTAGCCAGGCAGCAAAGTGGTCAAGGAAGAAGAGAGGGGAACCAGGGGGGCGATAAATAATGGCAATGTTAGCAGAGAAGGGTTTGAAAAGGCGAATTAAATGGACTTCAAATTATGAAAAAGAGAGGGAAGAGGTTATGGTGACTAGAGTGTTCTTGCAAATGATTTATGGAATAAAAGCTGCGATTTTCCGTTACAAATAACTGGGCATCATATTAGCATATTAGCCAATATTTCCTTTTTAATGCAGACAGACTAACAAGCAAAGTTAAATGTCATGCTCATTATGCCTTCCAGTATGCTCCCTTGAGGATGCACTATCTCCGATGCTGATGAAATAGTCACGTCCCAGGCATCCACAAAACCAAGGTTAAGTCCATGAAAAACTTAGCTAAGTACCAGGTGCTGGCAGTCATAGGCGTGCGCACGGGGTGTGCCGGGTGTGCCTGGGCACACTCTAATCCCCGTGGCACGCCTATGGTTTGAGTCCTGCAGGAACAGCGTTCCTGCAGGCACTCAGTGCCCCCTGTTTCACCTCTTGCCCCTGTCATGGGAGGGCAAGAGGTGATGATTCCACCCACCCTGCAGTTCAGCCGCGGCGAGGGAGCTCTCTGCTCTCTGCTCTCTGCTCCCAGACAGCAGAGAGCTCCCTCGCCGCGGCTGAACTGCGGAAAGGCGCCCGCCCCCACTGGACCCCAGGGAAAAGTCCACCAGCACTCCAGGTAGGAGGCTGGGTGGACATTATTTTTTTTTAAATTAAAATATAATAATTTGTGTGTGTGTGTGTCAGTGTGTCTGTGAGTGTGTGAGTATGTGTCAGTGTGTGTCTGTGAGTGTGTGAGTATGTCAGTGTGAGTGTGTGTCTGTGAGTGTGTGAGTATGTGTCAGTGTGTGTTTCTGTGAGTGTGTGAGTATGTGTCAGTGTGAGTGTGTGTCTGTGAGTATGTGTCAGTGTGTGTTTCTGTGAGTGTGTGAGTATGTGTCAGTGTGAGTGTGTGTCTGTGAGTATGTGTCAGTGTGTGTTTCTGTGAGTGTGTGAGTATGTGTCAGTGTGAGTGTGTGTCTGTGAGTATGTGTCAGTGTGTCTGAGTGTGTGAGTATGTGTCAGTGTGTGTGTCTGTGAGTGTGTGAGTATGTGTCAGTGTGAGTGTGTGTGTCTGTGAGTGTGTGTGTCAGTGTGTGAGTGTGTGTCTGTGAGTGTATGAGTGTCTGTGAGTGTGTGTGTGTGTGTCTGTCTGTGAGTGTGTGTGTGTGTGTCTGTCTGTGAGTGTGTGTGTGTGTGTGTGTCTGTGAGTGTGTGTGTGTGTCTGTGAGTGTGTGTGTGTGTATATATATATATATATATACACACGCGCGGCGTGTGTTTGTGCTTTAGGGTGCACACCCTAATGCAATAGGCTGCGCACGCCTATGCTGGCAGTATCAATTAAAGTCTCAAATTCTCTCTACTTGGGTGTTAATTTCTCTAGTATTTTCTGTTTTGATTATTACTTTGGTTTCAGGGCTCCGTAGGAACAGACGTTCTAGAGCTCAGCGAACATTGATGGCTCTCTTGATATATAGTTGAAGGGGCAAATGTCTAGAATGATGTCTCATGCAAACAACCATTATGGTGTTTCTTCCTCTGTCCATCTCATCAATCTGATGGCTTACATACTTGTCATGTTTGAAGTAGTAAAACATAAAACTTTGCAGTGGGAATCCATGCCTTTTGTAAGAGATATAGATATATTTTTCCATGTTCAAAGCCAGAAGTTTTTGTTCCCATGAAGTCCATCCATTTTAGTGGTACCCAAAGTAATTATTATTATTATTATTATTATTAATATGTTATTTATATAGCGCCGTCAAATTCAGCAGCGCTTTACAATGGGTGGACGAACAGACATGTAGTTGTAACCAGACAAGTTGGACACACAGGAACAGATGGGTTAAGGGCCCTGCTCAATGAGCTTACATGCTAGAGGGAGTGGGGTAAATTGACACAAAAAGGTAAGGATAGTATTAGACTAGTGACAGTTGCAGAAGAGGAATCAGTCAGGAGCTATTAACAGTTTAAAGGACCACTATAGTGCCAGGGAAACATACTCGTTTTCCTGGCACTATAGTGCCCTGAGGGTGCCCCCACCCTCAGGGTCCCCCTCCCGCCCGGCTCTGGAAAGGGGAAAGGGGTTAAACTTACCTTTTTCCAGCGCTGGGCGGAGAGCTCTCCTCCTTCTCTCCTCCTCCGCCCCCGGCTGAATGCGCACGCGGCAAGAGCTGCGCGCGCATTCAGCCGGTCGCATAGGAAAGCATTTATAATGCTTTCCTATGGACGCTGGATGCTCTCACTGTGAAAATCACAGTGAGAAGCACGCAAGCGCCTCTAGTGGCTGTCAATGAGACAGCCACTAGAGGATTAGGGGGAAGGCTTAACCCATTAATAAACATAGCAGTTTCTCTGAAACTGCTATGTTTATTAAAAAATGGGTTAACCCTAGAAGGACCTGGCACCCAGACCACTTCATTAAGCTGAAGTGGTCTGGGTGCCTAGAGTGGTCCTTTAATTGATACGCTTTTATGAAGAAGTGGATTTTAAAACTTTTTTTGACAATTAATTAATTAATTGGCTACTAATAAATAATATATTCTCTTGTATTCTATCTGTGTATTTATCTGCCTCTATATTTATATGTCTAGCTATATAAAGAAAAGACACATAACTATCATCAACAAAGAACAGTTTTCAGTTTTTAAAATATTTTTTATTTGAGATGCTGGCTTTGGGCAAGTTCATATCTATTTGTATTTGTTAAATATATTGAACAAATCACCGTAAAAAATCACAAGTAAGCAACAAAATACATCCATTATCAAAAGAATATAACAAAAATAAACATGGTTCTGCAATGCCTATGATAATTAATTAATTTCACCAACAACTTTTACTTGTGATAAGAATGTTTAACCTCTTTTGTGATCTCATCTAACCTTGTATTTACTACTTTCCTCTACTGAGAAATATTGACATGACCTCTGTCTTTCTCTGAGTAGCCAATAACAATCTAAATGTATACCTAGTAACATAATAACTGTTTTGTTACTAATCTATGTAAAGAACAGAGCATAATGACAGAATGGCAAATATTAAATATGCATGTTTAGATATACTCAGTGGCTACAAGGAAGTCTTTAGAACCCAAAGACGGATATATTTTTCCTTAATAAGTGAAAATATATGTTTCTTTTATATTTCATTACCCCTACTTATACCTTTCGTGTCACTATACCCCACTCTTTCTAGCATGTAAGCTCATTGAGCAGGGCCCTCAACCATGGGTGTCCGCAGGAATTTTTCTGAGGGGGGGGGGGATAATTGTAATGACATCTATGCTTGGCTTCTTTTTGACAGTGTCATGAAGGGGAGGAGCATAGTCATTATCACATAAAGCCAGGGTGAATTGCGTTTGTATTCTTGACACTATAGTGTTCCTTTAAGCAAATTAAAGGATCATTCTGGTCACCATAACAACTTCATCTAAATGAAAATGCTATGATGCCAGGAAGCACCTGGGTGCTCTTTCTTTTAAGGGGTTAAACCGCTCTCAAATGGTTTAACCCCAAAGGCTTCCTCCAGCTCCAGGTCGCTCAGAAGTATTCGGCATACCACTGCACCAAGTGCAGACTGACGTCAGGCATGGGTGCCGCTGATTGGCTAGAGTTGACAGTTGACACTCTAAGCCAATCGCTGGTTCCCGGTTCATAAAAGTTCTTTACTTTTTTATGAATGGGGAGCTACTGAGTGGCTTAGAGTGCCAGCTGACCGCTCTAGCCAATCAGCAACACCCCTACCCACTTCTTCACACTCAGTAAATAAAAGTGAACACATTAACTGATATATTTTTTTTTTACCTGGGGAAATGAGAAGGTCCAGAGTTTCCCTGCCAGGCCCAGGTACCAAAGCCTCATGATGTGGTCCATCCTGCTTGTCATTTGTCCTTCCTGCTCCAATCTCCTTTTCTTCTCCTTCATTTGACAGTCTTCTTTTTCTTCTGACACTGTCTTCTATATTTGGCTCCTTCTGCTTCTTTACCTTTCTGCTCATTTCTGCTTATTTTGTGCCCTTCTGCTCCTTTCTCACTATGATTCCTTTCTGCTCATTGCAGACCCTTTCTGCTCTTTCTCCTACTTTAGCTTTGTGCTCCTTCTGTCCCTTTCTGCTCCTTGCAGACCCTTCCTGCCCCTTGCTGCCCCTGCTCCTTGCATATCCTTCCTGCTCCTTGCTGCCCCTGCTCCTTGCATACCCTTCCTGCTCCTTGCTGCCCCTGCTCCTTGCATACCCTTCCTGCTCCTTGCTGCCCCTGCTCCTTGCAGACCCTTCCTGCTCCTTGCTGCCCCTGCTCCTTGCAGACCCTTCCTGCTCCTGCTCCTTGCAGACCCTTCCTGCTCCTTGCTGACTCTTCATTTAGGCTGCCTCTCCACCCCCCTTGCCTCACTTCCCTAATCTATAAGCTGCCCCCTCGTGCTTCACTTGCCTAATCTATAAAATGGCCCCCCATGCCTCACTTGCCTAATCTGTAGGCTGCCCCCCATGCCTCACTTGCCTAATCTATAAACTACCCCCATGCCTCACTTGCCTAATCTATAGGCTGCCCCCCCATGCCTCACTTGCCTAATCTATAGGCTGCCCCCATGCCTCACTTGCCTAATCTATAGGTTGCGCCCCATGCCTCACTCCCCTAATCTATAGGCTATCTCAAACCCTCCCCCCATCCCTCACTTACCTGATCTGTAGGCTGTCTCTGGCTGTATGTGTTGTTTCCCTGCGGTTTCAGTCAGCAGAGAGAAGCAGGGATAGATGCAGCTTCCTATCCCTGTCTCTCTCCATGCACAGCGCCACCTACTGGCTGGTTCATTTTAAATCTCACACGAAAAATAGCAGAACAAGCTGAAAAATCCCCCCTGCGGACGCCCATGCCCTCAACCCCTCTGTTTCTGTGCGTCCATATGTCTGGATACAATTACGTGTCTGTTAGTCCACCCATTGTACAGCGATACGGAATTTGCTGGCGCTATATAAATAATAACAATAATAATATTAAGGTTTTTTTTAAAATTTCAAATCAAGGGATTCATCAATCTTAGGGCAACACCAAGGTGTAGATATCTTGTCACTCCTGGGCAGCAGCAACGACCACAGTACACATTGTTTGTTTATTCCAGTTTCTTAATAAATATTTTATTATTATTTGTTTTTCTTGAGGGTCATCAAGGACCTAATCCACAATGTTTATTTCATCTTTAATATTGCTGCAACAAAGTATAAGTCCCTGTCTCTTCAGGCAAACTCCAGTCAGAGCTCCCATGTGGTGAGAGTCACAGTGGTTATTGTTCTTGGGGTGTCTTAAAGCAGCCAAAAGCAGTCCTGCCTGTGAGCAGGGTGTAGGTACAATGAAAAGCAGCCAAGTCGCTTAGGCAACAGGTTGAAACAAACAAATTGATGTGGCATATGTGGCAATAGGAAAGTGTTCTTTTTTTGAACTCTGGGAAAATGCAGTAAAAGAAAATAAAACTGGGGATTCATGGAGAAAAGAATGATCAATTACAGGTGGGATACAAGTAACAAGGGAAGATAATATCAACTGGAGACAATTACCCCTATTGAGGATATAATCTGTAACAAGGAAGGGAGCTATATAATAGGAAGAGAGTAAAGGAGTTAGAAAATATAATTTGAGTTAGAGAAATGAGAATATAATGGGTCCAATGAAAAAATAAATACAGATTATTGGAAGTGTTAGATTAACCTTTGCTATCAGAAGAAAAAAGAAATATAATGGGAGGCAGCATTAAAGTGAACATAAACAAAGGTGCACTAGAATTGAGACACTAACTGGAGGCAGTGAAATTGGTATCAGCTGGGAAGGTTAGAAGAAATCAAAATATCAATTGACAGGTAAAGGAAATAATGACGGTTGCAGCCCTGACTACCATCATTTTTTATACACATGTGTACAGTGAGGAGGTGAGTAAAGTTGAGCTGGATGGAGGAAATATAGAATAGCACCACTCCCTCATTTCTCTCTGTGAGAATATGTATGGGGTGATAAATATAAAAAATAATATTCTCTCTCCTTTAACCTTAATTTTTAAACAAGAATTTCTCTATACGTCACTAGTTGACAGTGACCAATAGAGTAAGGTGGGCGTGTCTTCCCTAAAGACTATCATCGTAGATTTTGATCAGTAGATGGTGCCATAACATCACAAACAATTCTTGCCAGGAAGTCCAGTAATCACTTTGTATAAAGAGTTAAGTAAATTTTGTGATGCATTTGACATCATCTTGGTTATTTTTTGGATAACCATTAGTCAAAAACCTGTCAATCTTTAAAGGCTTTTCTCAGTCTGACTGTCTCCTTTTGGTCCATAAAATTTGTTTTTGACACGTCTTAGCCTTGGTTTCACCCTCTTAATACAATGTAACTTTATATAATCAGATTCTTAATATTCAAAAGTCAATTAAGTAGTGTAGTGTTATCTGTCTTTGGTAATCCTGTGTCTGGTTTTCTTGTGTGAAACTGTGTGTAGCACTTAGTAATGTTACACATGTAATTTATATATGTCTGTTACACATATTCCACTAATGTTAGTAAATAATATGGCATTTTCTTCATTGATATTATATCCATGAATATTCTAATATTATTACTATTACTATTTATATAGTACTATTACTATTATATATAATTGCTTTCAACCCCCCTTCTGCTGCAAACATCATGCCTTATCTCTGCCAATGTTTACATTAGTCGCATTCCTTTGCTAATGGCTGAATGAATATAGTACAGAGAAGTAAAAAAGTGTCTGTCTTTGCAATTTGTTACAAAATGGAATCACCTCTGTTTTAATGGTGACTTACAGTATACATTTTTAATTTCTATCTTAAAGGGACACTGCCCATTGGAGTGGTCTGGGTGCCATCTCCCACTACTCTTAAACCTGCAACTGTAATTATTGCAGTTTTTTAAACTGCAATGATTACCTTGCAGGGTTAACTTCACCTCTAATGGTTGTCTACTAGACATCCAGTGATGCTCTAGCACAGGTTTTCTGTGCTATGATGCATCATAGCACAGAAAACCTGTGCTAGAGCATCGCTGGACGTCCTCACGCTGTGTGAGGACCTCCAGCGTTGCTCATTTCCACATAGGAAAGCATTGAAAAATATTTTCAATGCTTTCCTATGGGGAGCTCTAATGCGCTGCTGCGCATGCGCATTAGGTCTCCCCGGCCGGTGGGCGGGATCACTCTCGCCCACCGGGCAACGTAATCACTGGGAGGAGCGGTGGCGGAGGAAGAAACAGCGACATGTTGCTGCCTCTGGTAAGTAACTGAAGGGGTTTTCACCCCTTCAGCAACCAGGGGTTGGGGAGTGGGAGGATGAGGGGACCTGTAGTGCCAGGAATATGGATTGGTTTCCTGGCACTGGAGTTTCCCTTTAACACAGAATGTCTGCCAGTGTAGATACTCTGATATCTCCCTACTTCACTTGCCTGCTTTCTTTGTCACTATATCAATATCATTCCTCTCCATATAATCATGTCAAGTGATGACGGCATCAGGGATTCAATATATGTAAAAATTTTAAAGGATGAGTTATTTTTTGGTATTTATGTCATATCTTGTCTTTGAGGACAGAATAGATAATATTTGGAGTTTAAGGCACTACATCATCAGATTTCCAACAGAAAGAAATTCAGGCTGTTTTTAAATACCCAAGTAGCCATTATAGCCCAATGTAACATACAAAAAATAAATTAAAAAAGAACCCAGTCTGTCCAGCCATAGCCTGATGGGAACAAGAATGAAAATCTCTTCAAGTAGCTAAGGCTTTATATGCCTCTACAGGCTTGAAGGGTCTTCTGTACACTGTGGTTGGTTGGCTTGTAAACCACATGTTGGGCACATGTTTCTCTTCTACAGGCTTGAATGAAATAACCACTGTTTTCAGTCGACACAGCTCTCTTTTGTCTTGATAAATCCCCGCCTTTCATTCTACTGTCAATTAATCTAGTTTTTTTCTTGTATTGTCAATTCATTTTTACTATGGATAGACTGTACTCCTCCCTTACCTCTTGTGTAATTTAAGCAGGAGCTGCATTAACTCATGAACCAATTGCAGAGAGTTGCAGACTATGTAGATTTTGTTAAATACTTAAAATAAAGTAAAAATATAACAATGTACATCATTTTATCTTTTGTTAAACATTAACTGAATAAAAAAATAATTTTTCCCTATAGCTCTCTATCTCTATATTGTCATGGTTATTTGCTATGTGAAATGCGCCGGGAATTCAACGTTACTTTCAAATTTAAGTCCAAAATAAACAGAACAATAATTTTTCCAATTCAGCTATTTTGGCCTGAAGTTCAGCAATTCTCACTTTAGTAAATAACGTTGTATACAGTACTCATTACCCCACACTGACCTAAACATTTTACATTAATAAGTGAACCGATACTCTTTTTTAAAGTTCTATCTGTGGTAAAGCAATGAAATTAACTTTTGAATCAAATTTAAAAATATTATTTTCACAAAGCCTCTTCAAGGGTTGAAGTGAGAATTCAAAGTCAATTTCAAATTGTATTTAATTTTCTAAGACAACTATACTTCCCATTTAAATACTCTGGCCTGGAAAGAACACTGTAGGCATTATAACTATATTATGTCACTGAATTGGCTACAGTGTCCATAGTCCCCTGGTACTGTCCTTCATTAAGTGTTAAACCAGTTTTGAACAGTTTAACATTAAATCAAGGTCCATGGCTTCACTAAGCCCTACCCTGACTGGAGATATGGCTGAGGCAGAATTCACACAATTCTTTGCAGCCATACATATTGATACCTGCAATGGGCATTGTGATAGGTTTAAAGGAACACTATAGCAGTATGAATCCAAATATGTATTCCTAACTCTATAGTTCCCTAGTCACTGTTTATGTGACCAGGTCAGCACTGCCAGGGCTTAAAAAAAGGGATTTACTTATCTTTCAGCCCGCCCTCGTCTCCTCCATGTAGCTCCACTTCTTTAGCTGAGATTATTAATGTTTACAATCTCATCCAATCAAATGCTTTCCCATATGAAAGCATTGGGAGGCTAGTGTGCATCTGCCATTGGGAGGCAATCAGACCATGATTAAAGTAGCAGTGTGCTAGAAGGCACTTCCATAAATTGCTAATTATGGAAGTGCCTCTAGTGGCTGTCATATTGACAGCCAGAAGAGGCAGGCTAACCCTGCAAAGAACAAAATGGGGGGAACATGTCATTCAGACAAGATTATTAAGATGAAGTTGTCTGGGTGCTTATAGTGTTTCCCTTTAATCCTCCTTAATCCCAGCTTCTACATTAGCCCAGGCAGCACAGAGGGGATGGGTTGCTGGATACTCTTGTTTAGAATGAAAACATTAAAAACTGTTTAATATTGAATGGAAGTACAATTCCATGGACTCAAAACACTATAACCACTTTAATTAGATGAACCAGTTATGGTGCCTGTATCTCATTAAATTTGAATTTCTCTTTGAATTCACTGTACATTCTAATCTAGTGTCATTGTCTTGTTTTAAGTTTTCCATCAATTTTGGCAATAAGGCATTTGTCAGGACTAGAATATATACCTTCCAAACATTTGTTTTTCCTTATTGGTAAGATAAGAGACATTCAAGTGCACCGACCATAGGCATGCGCAGCCTATTGCGTTAGGGTGTGCACCCTAAAGCTCAAGCACACGCTGCATATATATATGTATATATATGTGTGTATATATATATATATATATATATATATATATATATATATATATATATATATATGGTGCACTCACAGGTCTTTTTAAGTAAGTGATAAATTTATTCCAGCGTGCAAATTACTTATGCCACAAATTTATGATGATCATCATAAATTTGTGGCATAAGTAATTTGCACGCTGGAATAAATTTATCACTTACTTAAAAAGACCTGTGAGTGCACCTTATATATATTATTTATATTTATCAACGCCAGAGGTGGGCACCCAGGCAAGAATATTTGGATATTTTTCTACAAAGGGTGAGTGCCAAGTTCACGTTTTCTTTTTATATATATATATAATATATATATATATATTCACACACATACACTGCTGTGTGTGTGTGTGCTGTGTGAGGGTGCTGTTAGTGTGATGTGTGTGTGTGTGAGGGTGCTGGTAGTGTGCTATGTGGGTGAGGGTGTTTGTGTGTGCGCGCCTGTGAGGGTGCTGTTAATGTACTGTGTGTGAGGGTGCTGTTTGTGTGTGATGGTACTGGTGGTGTGCTGTGTGTGTGTTTGTTAGGGTCGTGTTTGTGTTTGTGAGGGTACTGTAAGTGTGCTGTGTGTGTGTAAGGGTGCTTTTTGTGTGCTGTGTGTGAGGCTGCTCTTTGTGTGCTGTGTGTGAGGGTGCTGTGTGTGAGGGTGCTGTGTGTAACGGTGCTGTGTGTAACGGTGCTGTGTGTAACGGTGCTGTGTGTGAGGGTGCTGTGTGTGTTGTTGCTGTATGTGTGTGGGTGCTGTATGTGTGTAGGTGCTGTGAATGTCTGTGGGTGCTGTATGTGTGTGGGTGCTGTATGTGTGTAGGTGCTGTGCTGTGTATGTCTGTGGGTGCTTTATGTGTGTAGGTGCTTTGTATGTCTGTGGGTGCTGTATGTGTGTGGGTACTGTATGTGTTTTGGTGCTGTGTATGCGTGTGGGTGCTGGTTGCTGTATGTGTGTAGGTGCTGTGTATGTCTGTGGGGGCTGTATGTGTGTGGGTGCTGTATGTGTGTGGGTGCTGTGTATGTCTGTGGGTGCTGTATGTGTGTAGGTCTGTGGGTGCTGTATGTGTGTTGGTACATTACTTAGTATCCCCTCTCCCTTCTTACTTTATATAGTTCATTGCTGCCTTCCCTGGCGGTCCAGTGGAGGTGGGGGCAGATTACTTAATATGCCCCCTCCCTTCTCACCTTATGTAGGGAAGGGGGATCCTTTCTGCCATCCCTGGTGGTCCAGTGGTGAGTGAACTCTAGCCTGCGGGGCTAGAGTTCACTATCGCGAGATCTGAGCATTGCCGTGGCAATAGCTCCCCGGGTCCTCTCTGCCTCCCTCCATGCTGCAGTGGGGAGGGAGGCTGAGAGCAGAGCCGGTGCTCGGATAGCGCAGGCTCTGCATGAGCCGACAGGGGAGATCCTGAGATCTCCCCTGCCGATCTCACTCCACAGGCGTGCCGCGGGGATTAGGGTGTGCCCAGGCTGATCTTAGAATTATTAAAATCAATAAATATATATTATATAAAGAAATGTAGATACAGATTATGATGCCAATTTACATTATTTTCGTAAAATAATATTTTATTTATCAAGTTCTACCATCACCTATATATTTTACTTAAACATATACCATCTTACTGTTCAATGCCTACATTAATTTCTCTGCTTAAGCAAAGCATTATTATATGAAGAGGAAGCACAATTTGTATCGATATTCAGCATACTGCATTATTTAGTTATCAGAAATTACATGATTTTATGAAAGACACAGAGGCAAATATTGTGAATATATCTTTCTTTACTTAACATACATCAGCGAAGAGAGACCAATGAGAGAAAAAGAATGCTAACATGTGACCTCCCAAACTCCAACCCCTCATGATCAGATATCCCTATAATCCACCCTTCAACTTCCTCTTTCTTTGGTGAATCAACAGTCCAACAGTAACAGATCAGCAACTGACCAGTAGTAACCAGGAATCAGAACTGCGGCAAACCAATATCTCCAACAATGAGAAGAGCAGCAGTCCAATCTGTAAGGAAAAACGTGGTGAGGCGAGCAAGAACCAACAGCTCAAGCCTAGGAACATCAAGCTGGAAACCATAAAAGACAGGGTGTAGCCCCGGTTAGACATCACCGAGTCAACTTATAGTATAACATCAAGTAGACATGGATTACAACCCGTAAAATCGAAAGAAACATGGCAATGGCAACAAAAACCCAATCATACTGTGTCAATAGAAATGACAATGGCAAGCTATATGGTACAACCCTGTCGGAGGATATAGCCACCTAAGAACGGGAAGAAAAGTTACTGCAAAGAAGCATAAAAGCCAACTAGACATGAGGGATGGAGAATGCAGCCACAGCAAACAGGGTGGGGCAAAATCATGTCATTTTATTTCAAGACACAGAGGCTCATATTGTGCAAGTTCAAAGCTGCGCAACCACAGGTGAGAAAACGTGAGATATAGGCTTGAAGGGTTGTAGATAAAGGTAAATAAAGGGTTACAGGCCTAAGTCTTTGCCTTAGTTTAAGTCCCTCCACGTCTGCAAGAGTTAGAAGCTAAATTGTTTCTCTCAGCAATTTCTGCAGCTGGTTCTCTTTCTCATGAAAGAGAATGTTTGCTTTAACCTTGTAGATAAGATGTTCTCAAGCAAGTCATAACACTTTCTAAAATAAGCCATTGTTGCTTTGGTCTCACACATGCGCAGTAGATTAATTGCCATTTCATATATACAATGTTCTCCCATTAAAGACCAAGAGATGATTTTGTATATCTAGGTTTAATTCTATCTGCTGACCCAAGAAGATGTATGGAACTAAACTTTATGAAGTTGCTAAAAGAAACTAATAGATTATTAAAGGAATGGAGACCATATGAAATATCATGGTGGGGAAAAGTAAATACCATTAAGGCGTATATAATCCCTAAGTGGATATACATGTTTTGTTTGATTCCTCTTTACATATCCCCACATTGGCTTAACTTGGTCCAAAGCAGTTTCACTAATTTTTTTTGGAGAGGAAAAAAACCTAGAATTAATTCATCCTCGTGGTCAAATTTTTTTTTAAGAGGTATTGGCTATCCAATAATTAGTCAGTCTTATCAGGCTAGTATGATGCTACACGCTATAAACTTACAAAAGACCGAATCAATACAACAACCAGGGCCGGCGCTACCTGCTTTCAGCGCTCCCTCCTGTCACTCCTTCACTGTAGCGTGGCCGAGCCCTGAGTGTGCGCTTCCTTTTAGTCCGGCCGGGTACAGGAAACAAAAGCTCCCTGTACCCGCGGACCATACAGAGCTCGGCCACGTTACAACAGAGGTGGGGGAGGGAATAAATTGACAGGGAGGGTGAGGAATAAATTGACGGGGGGGAATAAATTGAAAGGGAGGGTTGAAAGGGAGGGAATAAATTGACAGTGAGGGTGGGGAATAAAAAGGGAGGGGGGAATAAATTGAAAGGGAGGGGAATGAAATTGACAGGGTGGTGGGGGGAAGAAATTGACAGGGAGGGGAATTGACGGGGGAGGGAGGGGGAATGAGAGAGGGGAAGGGAGAAGAGAGTGACAACGGGGGAGAAGAGAGGGACAAGCAGGGGAGAAGAGAGTGACAAGGGAGGGGGGGAGAAGAGAGGGACAAGCGGGGGAGAAGATAGTGACAAGGGAGGGAGAGGGGGGAGAAGAGAGTGACAAGGGAGGGGGGAGAGATTGACATCCATCACACACACAATGCACCCCTTACACACAAAGACACAGAAAAACACACAATGCATTACACACACAGACACACACACACACAAGCAATGCAACCATTACACACAGTTCATTCCTTACACACACTCAATGCACCCCTTACAGATGCACACACTGCATCCCGTACATACACAGAAACACACCTTGCAGCCCTTACACATACAAACACAGAGTCACACAATGCATTCCTTACACACATATCAGGACATCCCCCTACTCCACCCCCTGTGAACAAACTCATTGGTGGACCCTGGGACCCAGACCTTGAGCTGTGTAAAGGGCCTTAAAAAAAATGGAGCTACTTCCCGTTCTCCCAGAACATTGATTTTTGTGACCACAGTTACAAACCGCCTCCAGAGAGCACCAGACCAGTGGAGCCAGACTGCAGCTAGAGCCCATCATCATCCTCATCTGGTTGTAAGTAGGCAATCTAGTATATTATTCGTGGCACTAATCTCTAATGTACCTCACATTAAAAACACTTAATGTAGTGGTTCTGGTGTCTATGGCCTGTCCCTGCAGGCCTTTTAATGTAAATACGGTGGCACTGCAGCACTGGCGTTAGTTAACCCCTTCAGGACGGAGTCAATAGTGCACGTTCTGATCAAAACAAAACGTAAACAAAAACTGGAATTTGCGCTATATGTCTGTCCAACCGTAATTCACCGCTGTCACATTAAGTGCCCCCACACTTATTATATATCATTTTGTTCAGGAGAAACAGGGCTTTAATTTATCATTAACTATTCATATATGGAACATAATTTATTATGAATAAAATTTTAAAAAATTTGAGAAAATAAGATTTTTTTTTAAATTTGTATTTGCGTCTGACATTTTAGCTGTTAATGTCATAATACTGCTAGGTTTTACTGCAAAAAAATGCACATATTGGTAATCAGTGATGTCTCACGAGTCAAGTTTACCCAATGATGATGTATAGGGGGCGGACCGAAATGGAACTGGGTGTTTTAATTCATAATCCATATACAAACCAAACATAGCTTGATGTATAAAAAAGCCTTATTGCTGATATTGTAAAGCTAGGATAAGCCGCGTAAAATTCTAATGGGCAAGAATTACGACTAAAAAAGTTTCTTCTTTCCCTCTTCACGTTGGTGATTCCAGGGAAAGGGGGAAAGAGGTATGAGAGGAAATCATTTACTACTATATAAAATATTACTGAATAAAAATATTAAAGCTTGACCTATTTTTGATCTACGAGATGAGAATAGATGACTAACATATTCAAGGCATGTAAGGATTTACAACTTTGAACCTACTATGTTGGGAACATTTGAGGTCTGGGCTTTGCACATCATTGGAAAATGATAACCAAAAAATATAAACCTCCCAACATAAAGTATTAATATAAGAAACTTAGCTGACCGGATGTATGTATGTATGTATGTAAGTATATTGAATGCATGTTAATTTAGGTAGAATGAATATCACACAAAGAATAATTAGATAAAAACACAGATTAATGTAATCTACTCTTAAAATATGCTAAAGGAAGAGTTTCTAATTTTTCTTCTTTATGTATAATGATTAATGAGAACAAGCTTACATGATAACGTAAAGTAAATTTTGTAATATTTTATGAATGTATTGTGCTCGAAAGAGCTATTTTATACGTGTATTGAAAAATTGAATAAAAAGAAATAAAAAAAAAAAGAAATAAGCCATTGTTGCTTTGTTTTTTTTTTTTTAATACACACGTGTAGTAGATTAATTGCCATTTCATACATACGATGTTCTCCCATTAAAGATCGAGAGATGGTTTTTGAACTACAACGAAGTGTCTGTGGTTTATTGTCTGTTCTCCCGAGCGCTCGTACATATAATTTGTACATATAATAAGCACATACATACTGCAAGACATCTCAGAAAGCAGTGTGCCTTGCGTATGCCCACTAATTTCACTTTAAAGTGGTGCATGGTATTAAATCCATCTACATTACTTCCTATGGATTTAAAAGAGGGGAGTAGCAGTGGCACAGACCTTTTTATGAATTCCTTATCACCTGATGAATTAGTTAGTACCCAGGTAGTTCATGACTGTGCAGCCTTAATGGCTCAGGAAACTGCAGATTTTTCACATGTTATTGATTCACCATTGTCTAATCCAGACGTTGAGGATTAGACTTTGAGTATTTTGTAGATGGTTCCCGATTTACTGATGAGAAGGTTTTCTCCCATACTGGATATGCTGTTGTCTCTACACACAAGGTAATTAAAGCAGAACCACTTGCTCCTCACTGCTCTGCACAGGAGGCGAGCTGAAGTCTCTCACTGAAGCATGTAAACTGGCCTCAGGTAAGACTGCTAATATTTATACTGACTCTCAGTAAGCCTTTGGCATAGCCCATGACTTTGGACCTCTTTGGCGGGCCCGAGATTTTCTCACATCTGCAGGAAGGCCATGAGTGCCCTAATGGATGCAATCCTGCTAACCAAGCATGGGGGAATCATCAAGGTGGTAGGTCACGTAAAGATCACAAATGAAGCATCCCAAGGTAATCACAGAGCTGATGTAGTGGCTAAGCAGGCTGCCAAGCGACCATTACTTGCAGGTAAAACTCCTTTACAGACTATGACAGTAGTCTAATCTGTTTCATATGACATATTGCAAAGCCTACAGAAGCAGGTAAGCACAGAAGAATAGGAACTTTGGAAGAAGCTGTAAGCAGAATATCAGGATGCTTTGAAACAATGCTGGCCCAGGTGTCCCACGGACCTACACATCTGTCAAAAATTAACATGATCAGTTTGGTAAATGCACATTGGATTGCTCCAGGTTTCATTGTAAGTGCTGCAAAACACACTTAAAGCTGCATGGTTTGTGCTTGGAATAATGCAGGTCAAGTGATAAAAACACTCTCCAAGCACATGCAAAGTCCACTATACCCGTTCCAGAGAGTGCAGATAGTCTATATGACTGAATGCCTCTCTTTAGCCCTCATTTCAATGAGATTTACTCCACACCTTAAAACACACCTGTCCCCCTTGAAATACTGTTTGGATGTGCCCCCAAGACAGGACTACACTCCCCACAAACCCTCCAGCTGCAACACAGCAACATGGCTGGCTATGTACAGGCCCTACACCAGAGATTAGTGTTTGATTCTATTCCAGATCCTGATAGTGACTCCTCTACCGACAAGCTTCAGCCTGGAGATTAAGATAAAGAGACATGTGAGGAAAAGTCTGGAGCCCAGATTTGATGGTCCTTTGCAAGTACTGTTGACTACTGCCACATCCATAAAACTAGAAGGAAAATATGCTTAGATTTACACTAGTCACTGTAAATTGGTGCCTGATCCAGAATGAAGTTACTTTTTATATCCTCTGCTATACAGACCTTGACCTTCTGAATTACCCCTGGGACAAAGTTAAAGGACCACTCTAGGCACCCAGACCACTTCAGCTTAATGAAGTGGTCTGGGTGCCAGGTCCCTCTAGGATTAACCCTTTTTTTAATAAACATAGCAGTTTCAGAGAAACTGCTATGTTTATAATAGGGTTAATCCAGCCTCCAAATCCTCTAGTAGCTGTCTCATTGACAGCCGCTAGAGGCGCTTGCGTGATTCTCACTGTGAAAATCACAGTGAGAACACGCAAGCGTCCATAGGAAAGCATTGTAAATGCTTTCCTATGAGACCGGCTGAATGCGCGCGCAGCTCTTGCCGCGCGTGCGCATTCAGCCGAAAGGGAGGAGAGGAGGAGGAGAGCTCCCCGCCGGGCGCTGGAAAAAAGGTAAGTTTTAACCCTCTCCCCAGAGCTGGGCGGGAGGGGGACCCTGAGGGTGGGGGCACCCTCCGGGCACTATAGTGCCAGGAAAACGAGTATGTTTTCCTGGCACTATAGTGGTCCTTTAACAAGCTGTTCAGATGACTCTATAATGTTTTCTAGCTAGGACAGAGAACATTTTGAGAGGACTCAGGACAATTATACCTGCTTTGCCAACATTAACATGTCCCGTCCCAACTGCAGACTGGCTTGCATCACAAAAGATAACAGACATTGGTATACTGGGGAGCAGGGTCGACTGTACCTAGGCAAAGATATGACTACTTTCAATGTGACATGGCTCCAAAATGTCTCTATTTCTTGTGGGTTCCTCAACAGCTCATGCATGAAAGATATATACAAAAAACTGTGTGGTAGAGGCGCTTAAATATTGATAGTGTCAGATGAAGTTACGCTACAATACTCTAGTGGGGATCTCTCTCACCCACCAAATTATGCAAACAAAGAAAGAGTGGAAAAAAGCAGAAAAGCAATTATCCTCAAGAGTGGAGCAATAAATATTATGGATTGGACATCTACCGTAAATAAGGGTTGTCTGGTCTTATCATAAAATAGAAATGATAATGTGGTCCAGTTGGTCTCAATGTATATATAAAAGAAAACATGAGAGGAAACACATAGTATAAATCTGTGTGATAAACGTACCGTATATTATGAGGCAAACTTGTGAAGTGTCAACTGACACGTAGAAGAGCCTAAAACAGGACAGGCTCAAATCTCTTCCACTTTAGTGCCGTCTGGTGGCACTTTGACCTTTGGTTCACACTACTTTTCCTCAATATAAGGGAACAAAAGCAACACAACAGAGGACAATATGGTGTAGTAGGTATGGATATATAGTGAATAGTAGGTATGGACTTATAGTAATATAAGTGATTGCTCACCTTGTCCAGAGCCTAAGTACCTGGCTCTGGGTTGAATAACTTGGGTGTCTGTTTCACATGCATGAAATAGTTAGATTGGGAACACCATGATGAAAGACTAAGCTATTGGAATGTTTGAAAGAGCAACCTGTGAATAGTGCTAGTATGGTGGTAAATATGACTGACCACTACTCCTTGTATGCTTCAACATTCTATAAGTGTTTGTGATTGGACAGTGTCCCCTGATCTGATAGACATGTATATGGAACTCACCCCTTTGTATATTTGCCTTACATGTTCTCAGCCAGATACCAACAAACTTCCGGGAGTCTCTACTCCGTTTGCAGGATGCTTTCAGAACCTGGCAATGCTCAAGTGGTTCAATGATGCAATTACCATCATCCCGGATGCAAATTAACCATTCCTTCCACCAGGCACCCACAAGCTCTGGATTTGGGTACTCTTTCTGTCTCTCTACAATCCTTAATTAACATTGTCAACGAACCTGATCACCTAGCTGAACATCTAGCCATCATTAACCACTCTGTGCATGAACTAGAGAAAAGAACTGTCAAAGTTTCTAATAAACTACACAACATAGGCACCAAGATAGTGGCGCATATAGGACATCACTGGTATGATATTTTTACAGGGTGTTCTCCCTCCACTAAAGGAGTCTTAAACATCGTACTGCAGCCACTAATTGTTGTGATATATCTTTTCTGTCTTCTTACGTGTTTTAACTTTTAGATCTATTGCAAAATGAGATGTGGATTTAATAATACATTTTATCCTGTAACCTGTAAGTCTTCTTTGATGGCTCCTTTGATGTGAGATGGCAAGGGAACCGAGGTGAAGAGCT